AAAATTGTGTAGGCAAAATTGTTCTCAAGGTTTTATTCAAGTTTGTTGCTTTTTGACAATTTCGCGAATGATATTTTTGACAAAATCTCGAGCCGTCAGGCGAGTGATTTTATCAAAAACTAGCTAATGACCCGCTGCGTTGCCAGCGTGTAAATACATTTTGAAATAATACACCTCTTTTCAAATTTTGTCGTTGATTTTCTATTTAATTTTTTTTTTCATCCGATATCAGAGTCGCTTGCCAGTGAGTTCAGTGACGCATTTTAAGCACTCCAGAGCTGCTCTAGAGCGCCCCGGGCTGTTTATAGGCCTTCCAGTGTATCAGAGTTTTACGCAACCGAACTTTTTTTTTCGGGATAAAAAATAGCCTTTATCACTCTCCTCTATAGCCGATTCGATTGACCGGATTAGATCGATCTGGTTCAATTTAAGTGAACCACACTGTGTTCGATTCAAGCTGGATCAGTGCACCCTCATCAACAAAAAAATGATCTAGATCAGAAGAAGTTCACTTAAATTGAACCCAAATCGATCTAATCTGGGTCAATCGAATTCACCTTATATTAGAGATACGTGGTATTAATTCAAGATCGGTCCAGCCGTTCTTGAATTCAAAAAATAATAAAGTTACGTCGGTTGAATGCAAGCCTAAATAAATGAAATATGTCAACGTTATTTCATGCTGTCAAAAAAAGTTGGGTTATGTTGTTATGTAATGTGAATGAGTTTGTTTACAATTAAATTAATAATTAATTCAAAATTAATTTCTTTTTCCGAGATGCGTAACCTATCCACAAACCTTCCTTGGGATGGCCATAATAACCTACCAAAGTTTCATCGTAATCGGATAAGTGGTTTTAGAGCGCATATCCGGATACCCCGTGAACTTTGATTTTTATATATATAGATATGATGATGTTTTGTGAATGTCATGAGCAATAAACAACAAACTTTCATACCTTCCGAAAATTTTGCCGACAATTTTTTTTCTCTTGTGATATTATATATGATACTCCCTTTTACACCTTTTTTCTCGACTGGCCATGGACCGGTGTCATTGGGTGTTTTCAACTGAGGTAGAGGAAGCTTTGGTGACTTAATGGTTACATTAACGATTTAGAGCTCGCACATAATGTTGACCGAATTTGAATGTTTTTTCTTTCACAATTTTCCGTTACTTTTTCAAAGGTTCGATTTAACTCGTTTTCCCGAGGCAACAAATAAAAGAAACTCTTCGCGAATTTTATCCGCACTGACTCACTAGATACTGTAGATTTATACTCAAGACTGAACTGATCTGAACTAAACTGAACTAATATGAAGACTGATTCTAAACTTCTAAAACCGCTGTTTTTATATTTTTCGACCCCCCAAAAATTTCTATGTCCATTCATTAAGCTTCCTCTTTTATTTGTTTAAAACCCAATACGTCGCAATTTTCTGGATTATCGGTGTGAGAGGACGAATAACTCAAGGGATGCCGAAAACTCGTGTCGGCCGTTAATCATGAAATCTGTCACTTAGTCACCAATTCAATTACTTTGCCCTTGTTTTAAATATTTTCCTGGTTTTGATATAAGTTCAAATTTGATGACACGCGCTTGATGACTAACTAATAAAATTTGAACGTATTTCAAATGTTTTAATTAATTTGGGTCAATGCTAATTTGTTTCATCTTTCAATTTACTGATACTGATTTGAAATACTGGAGATTCAATTTTTCAATATTCTATTACATTTAAATTAATTGTTGCATTTTTTTTTAACTCTTTGTAAATTTCGGGTCTATTTTTCCCGGGTCATTAGAGTAACTACCATCCCACAGAATGGGACTTCGATATGAGGTTCGGCAAACATTGGGAGACATCATGGACTTTGTGATGAGGGAACGTAAAATTGGATCAGCGACAATCGTGGCACTAGGTGTTCTTGATGAACTTTAATGCAATGAAGAAACATGAAGATTTGTTCATAAGTAATCAAACAATAGAGATTCCTTTTTTAATTTAATTTCATTAATCAACGGCAGAGCCCTTTTATAAATAACAACAGTTAGGTAAGATAGCCACAATATAAATAAACAATTAAAAAAAAACACTATAACAATGCAATAATCATAATACACTTACATTCTTCTTCTATATCCCTAATTCTAGACTTAAACTAAACATACCAAGGCCGCAGGCAAACGGATCAAGTTTGTGAATATTGAACGCCCTTGATGATCTTGTGAGGGGGAAATTAAGGCCATAATTGGCATGATGGAAATGAATGCGAAACATTGGCGAATTACGCCTCTCTTGACTGGCACCATTTATTATTTTGAATAGAACCAGAAGGTCACAATGAGGTCTTAATTCTTACTTCAAAACTGCCAATATCATGCACAAACATTTCTCAATATTCAATTTCAGGAGATTAATCCTGCACCATAGATTGACTATTTCTGCAATAAAAACACATCCATGTAAAACTCAACAACTGAATATTTCAAAATCATCAGCAAAAGCCAAATGCTCCGAATGGGCAATAGCGAATAACATCACTTAGATCTCGTATAAACAAGTTGAACAGGATAGGTCCAATGTGCGATCCTTGGGGCACGCCAGAAAAGACCTGTATTTCATTTGAGATAAAGTTACCAACCCGCACTAGTTGAGTACGCCCGGTCAAGAGACTTTGACAAAAATCGACCACGATCCTACCCATTCCAAAAGCCTCAAGCTTACCGCAGCAAGATGCTCATGACTAACCCTGTCAAATGCCTTCGAGAAGTCCATGTAAACGCTATCCACTTGTTTGGAATTCTCAAAGGCATTCAAAAGATAGTGCTGATGGGTGAGCACATTTGTGACCGTCGATCCTCCTCGAACAAAGCTGTACTGCTGGGGTCGTATTTTCGAAACCATGCGAATTCTTTCGCATGCGATTTAATTCGAATGAAAAATGTCGTGTACGAACTAAAATGCGTATTTTTGAAGACCCTTCGAAAATTATATCGTATACGAGTATTATTTGCGTTGACAACGTCGCAAATTCGAGTATTTGATAATGGCCATTTCGACAGATACAAAAATGAAGAAGATTTTTTTGACATCTGACTTTTTAAATGCTGGTATATATCTTGCTGAAATAAATTTCGTGCACCTAATCGTTGGGATTTCCTATTTAGAACATCCTTGCTTTTATAACGTTAATGAACAATCATGGTTTTTGGATGGGGCTCTAAAAGCTCTATCAACTCCAAGGTGAGTAGCTTCGTCAGGCGATATAATTTTCGGAACTAAGTACCTACCTACACCAATATTCTTCCAGCGGATCAAGAAAGGGATGTAACACCCTATCCCTACGATCTGCCAGTATTTTTGCTTCTTCGAGGGCATCAATAACATTTCTTTCGATTAAATAATCCAAGCTAGCCATTCCAATAACTGTCTTTTAATAAAGCAGGACAATTTAATTCACAAATTATTTGGAAACGAATGAAAAGTCAAAAGGAGAAGGAACAACGAACACAATTTTCAATTTGCACAACGTATTTATTGTTTGCCCAGCGGATCTGAGTCTACGGAAGGAATTCGGACGTAAATGTGCCATGTTGTCACGTTTAATTATGAAAAAGCGAAAATACTAGGCATGTAGTATAGTTCATTTGAAAATCCATTTTTTAATAGCAAAATATAGATACCAAATATAACGCTAAATACTTCAACGTGGTTGTTGGATCTATTCTTATTCTAATAACTGATTTCTTCAACTTTGTCCATTGTAAAAAATAAACATTTTCTAAAGATACCATCAGTTTTTGACAATTTGGCAAGCATCCGGCCTGGATGAACCTGATTGGCGGAGTTTTTGGCAGGATGGCCGTTGCCACGGGGAACCATGTCGTTGTCAATGGGCTAACGTCACCTTACGTCTCGCTATTAGCCAGGGCTTCCGTCATTGTATCCTCTCATCTTGGAATATCGATTTATATTGAAATATCCAGTGGCGGGGGTTTGGTCATTTTCGATTTTCGTGTAGGAGTTGCAATACGATAAAACTTCCAAAAAGTTCCGCACGCAGCTGGGTATTTTATGAATGAAATCAGCCATTTTTTTTTTACAACTGCATTCCCCTTACCGTTGCCCCGTAGACACAGAGTCGCTGGGCAGACATTAGGTACATAAACAACAAATGTAACGTATATAAACAAAATAAGCACTTCAAAATTGCAAACAGTGCGCAGAATGAACTAAAATCGCATGCGAAATGTGAAATTCGACTGGTGGAGACCCACTCGAGTCAACGTACACGAACCAAATCGTGTACGGACCGTTCGAAAGCGATTCGAAAATACGGAAATTCAATTTTCATGCGAATTTTGCCTTATTTCGTATACGAACGGCATTCGAATGGTTTCGAAAATACGACCCCTATCACTTAGCACTCTCATACAATGCCAAGAAAGGTGATGGCAGAACAGTTTATCGAAAAGCTTTAGAATAACGGATTGTACACTCTTTTCCCTATAGCTAGAAAAATAGCCCTTATCCCCACTTTTATGCATATAGTTGTCAGAAAACTTATTTTCCACTAATCAGGAAAGGTATCAGTAGATAAGCAGATAGGGCAGAAGCCTACTATGTCCACCTCTAAAGTCGTTTAGGAAACAGTCAAAAAGCGGTAACGCCAAATTATCGTTTTTTTTCCAACCACTCACTCATTCTCACATCATCCCGAGTAGAATCAAATGACCACACGTCACTGCTTCGATACAACAACTTCTCTTTGTAGCTGTTTAAATGTTTGTTTCATTAAGAAACCATTAGAAAGAGTAGAACCGTCACGAACTACTCGAAAAATAGATCTCCAGCCATTCTGATTCTCTTCCCTTAACTTATTTATTCGGTGACTTTGATTTTGACTTACTTATAACCTATAAGAATATGATTTCAAAAATGCCTCATTGCTGTTTTATATAGGTAAAATGCTTTTTCCTTAACAAACATTGTCCAGTCTTGGTCAACCAGGTGTCGATGTACACGTACGACACGACATGGAAGGACCACCGGGATCAGCAGCTGTCCTGCACCTTCAATTTTTGGTCAACGAAGGTTCCCTGATATCAGCGACGGCCGATGACACTTTACACCTTTGGAGCTACAAACAAAAAGTACCCCAAATTATACAGAGTTTGAAATTTCAAAAAGAAAAGTGAGCGACAAATTTTTCAAGTGGCTTACGATTTTTAAAATTCGTATTTTTGTAGGATTACGTGTATGCACCTACCTCTTCAATCTAAATGGCTGTACATAGGCACAGAAAAAGGCAACGTTCATGTAGTACAAATAGAAAGTTTTTCATTATCAGGATACGTAATTAATTGGAATAAAACAATCGAACTGTGAGTACACATTAGTAATAAATATAATACATTTGCAATTTAAATATATGCAATATAAAGCTTATATTTTCAATTTGTTAAAATATTCACTGCATTGTCTGTAATTTCAATTGAATATTTGTTATCGTTTAGTTCAATAAATATTTGAATTTATTTTTTTTCAGAACTAGGAAAACACATCCTGGCGCAATAGTTCATTTAAGTGATAATCCATTAGATGCTAGTAAGGTAAGAATATGCCAAACTGATACAAGAATCATCAAATCCCTTTCCGCAAAGCTACCATAAAACTCAATCTCGTTTAACTCCTGTTTTATTCCTACTGGTGTCACTTAGAGGGGTTTCTAGGATTTTAGTGCCATTACGGAATTACCTCAAATCAAAGCCGAGGAATAGTGGCTTTTATTGTGATTAGACACGGCTTTAAGTGACGGAATAATTGTAATTCCACGGTAAATGTCTTAGTTGTTCTCTATTTCGGTTTGAGATGCGTCGCAAAAGGTAGAAAAACTTTATTTTTAATTTAAAACTGGATCTTGTTACCTTTTTAGCTGTTACTAATAATAATAACTTTACACATTGCTGTCCTGGTGATATTTTAATGGTTATTAGGCCTATAGCACTCGATGTTTGAAGCTAAAATTTCAATATTACCCTTAAAATTGTATAATTACTTTATTTCACCATGCAGATAATTTCTGTGAAAAAAATTCCATGAAAAGCAATCGTGCTTATCACAAAGGTATCTCAGAGGCTTTTACGGAAAATTCAAGGGTCCCTTTCACCCTTAAGGCATAACGTATAGTCAATCAATTTGGCGTACGTGTTGCTTTTACCTCGATTACCGTAACGGGAGAGAAGATTGAAAATAATTATTTTGATAAATAAATTGGCCCTTAGGGGTAGAAGATTGCTCACACGGGTCTTATTCTGATTACGGACATACCGAAAAAACTTAATGGCGAAAATTTATGCCAGCATAAATACCGGCAATTTTCTTGGGATTTAATGGGGTAGACACGGCGAGTTCAAGAAGAGTTTTTAGAACCGCTAAAGCCCTTTGTGAGGCACTATCTCAAATGAAATTGCTCGTAAGAGAAACATCTGCGGTTTCTGGAAGTTGACAAATCGGTTCATTAAAAATATGTCCACTAAATGTCGGGAAAGTTAGCAACACATTCGAAGCAGGATCCCATGTTCCTACTTGTGTTGCTATGGTCCTGCCTCATTCTGCAAATCACACCCCGGCAACACGTACTATTTTCGAGATACAGGGATTTCATGTTTGGTAACTTCACCCTTGGCTTGGCAACACATTAGAAGCAGGATCGTTCCAAAATGTTCCTGCTTGCATTGCTATGGTCCTGCCTTGAACTGCTTCAATCACCCCAGCAACATTTAATATTCCAAGATACACACTGGTAGTGGTAGCATTACAAGAATCTAGTCGTAGGAATACGGCGAGCTCGAGACACCGTTGCCAAATGTATCGTAATTAGTGCTTTTCTTTGTTATTATTATCGACGAAAAGATCTAATCCAAACTAACTCAAACTAACTCAAACTTTTGTAATGAATGCTAGACTTTGTTGGTATTTTAGACGAGAATAGCTAATTCAAGCTAACCCGTCCTCGTACTAAGTGCTTGTTTTTGTATGTTGATATTTTGGACGAAAAGAGCTATTCCAAAGTAACCCGTCCTCATACTAAGTGCTAGTCTTTGTATATTAGTATTTTAGACGAAAAGAGCTAAACCAAACTAACCCGTCGTTTTGTAATGACTGCTAGTCTTTGCATGTTGGTATTTTAGACGAAAAGAGTTAATTCAAATTTCAGTTATCCAAGCCAACCCAAACTAACCCGTCCTTATACTAATTGCTAGTCTTTGTATGTTGGTATTTTAGACGAAAAGAGCTATTCCAAACTAACGCTTTCTCGTAATAAATGCTATTCTTTTTATGTTGATAATTTAGACGAAAAGAGCTAATCCAAGGGTTGAATTGAAACTAGCCTGTCCTCCTTATAATCTTTAAGAAAAAATTAAAATTAAAAACCCTACGGAAGCGCAGAGAGGCCACCTATGACAGGTTAGTTTCAATTCTTTCCTTGGATTAGCTCTTTCCATCCAAAATACCAAGACACAAAGGCTCGCATTCATTATAAAGGGACGCGTTAGTTTGGGTTAGCTCTTTTCGTCTAAAATACCAAACTCATTACGATATATTTGGCAACGGTGTCTCGAGCTCCTCCTATTCCTACTACTGAACTGTATTTTTTCCCAAGATAGATTTTGACACTGTCAACTTTGAAACAAAAACAATACCGCTTATTGGTCGCAAGATGCCATTTGCACGACATGCTTTGTGAAACTGATTCCAACCTGCAGGGACACGGCATTTTGCGACCAATCATGGCCAAGTTATTGTTTATGTTTCAAAGTTTTCAATGTCAAAATCTATCTTGGGAAAAAGTACACTTTATACTCTTGAAATGCTACCAGTTTTTATCTCAAAAATATTAGGTGTTGCTGGGGAAGCAGAATGAGGCAGGACCATAGCAACACAAGCAGGAACATGTTTGAGCGATCCTGCTTTCAGTGTAGAGCCAAGGGTGAAGTTAGCAACAAAAATAAAAATCGCTGTATCTCGAGAATAGTACGTGTTACCGGGGTCAGATTTGAAGCAGGGTGAGACAGGACTATAGTAGCACAAGCAGGAACCTGTTTTAACGATCCTGCTTTCAATGTGTTGCCAAGGGTGAAGTTAGCAACCCAAATAAAAAACGTTTTATCTCTAAAATAGTACGTGTGGCCGGTGTCAGATTTGAAGCAGGATGAGGCAAAAGCAGGAACATATTTCAGCGATCCTGCTTCGAATGTGTTGCTAAGTTCCTCGACATGCTCACTAAGCGTAAAGTTATTTTTCTCTAAATGCCATCTTTGCGTCGAAGATTGGCCACCATTATGGCTACCCTGATTCTTGAAGCTGCTGCTCTAAATAGTATTGAAAGACAGCCAAACCATTTGCTTAAATCTTATAGCAATGATATACTTCTTCAATCGCAGAACCCAGCCCATTATAAAATTCATTCCAATTTGGAAAATATCAAGGGGGAGTAATACATCAATTCGCATTTCTATTGTGTTATCACTCCATCTTCCAGAGTAACTTTTTTTCATTTGCGCCAGTTTTGATCTCTTGCTAGTCGCTAGTTAATTTATCTTTCTACAAAACTTGAACATGTCATAATATTGAATATTTTCTAAATCTCCAAGTTTTTTTTAATGAAATGCCTTATTGCCTACATGCCATTTTTTATTCTTATTTGATTGATGATTTTTTTTTCCAGAGAGCTATCATAATGATATTTGATGTGGATGGCCTCGAACAGTTCTCTTAATACTGGTCTTATTACAACAGCAAAATAGACAGCAAATAATGTTGATCCAGAATACGGCCCTATTTGATGCTGCAAGTTACTTCAAATTCCTTGAGGTTTCTTCATCTACTTGTACTTTGTATCTCATACCAGAGTGAAAAGTCTAAATTTTTTCACAAATTTCCCAAAGAGCTTCTCTAGGAACACGCTTGAATGGTTTTTCAAAATCAACAGAACACATCATCCTCTAATGGCTGATTTTATTCAAGTCATTTCTTTTGAAGTTGTCTCATACAGACCGGATCCACCTATTAGACATATAGGGAATAATAAAACGAATTAGCTTATACCCGGTTTAGGCAAATCAAGGTGGTGCTGCCGAAGCCGAGTATAACCAAGCAGCCGAAGATGCACGAAATTCAATAACATGCAGGACATATCAATCCACCATGACGATCCTGCAGTGGAATGGGTATGAGTGAACTGGCCCCTTTGAAGTCTATGTGACTAGAACCATGGTCTTGTCTGTATATTCAGAATATAGCATCACACGTTTCTCTGTTAGAATATAAATATTCCAGGAGGAAGAGAGATTTGCAATTTTTTAGCTCAGAAACTGCTTTTCAGGCACGCTTACACGGTGGCCTGTCAAGGGTTTCATCGGGGTCCTTATTCTTGAAACAGGGGAGCAGCGTTCCCAGGAGAACGAGTGTTTCGTCTTTATCAACGATATGCAAATGATAATATAAGCAACAAAGACAGAATACTCGTTCTCCTTGGAACGCTGCTCCCTCGTTTCAAAAATAGGGACCCTGAATTAAGCTCAGGTAATTGGTTTATGTATTCTATATCTGCTGTGCTGTCAGCATTTGAATATATATTAAAATATTTTAACCACCTGTCCAAGATTTGCTGCTTTTATTTTACACAGGTGCCATCCAGAGCATTCATTGGCACCGCTTTTCGCATTGTAGGCCAATAAACTCACTTTTTTGTTCAATTCTCGAAATAGGTGTCTTAGGTGTTTACAGGCTTCGTTTAGTTCTTTTCTACATATACTAGAATAATGTTTCTTTTCCTGTTTTGTAAGGCTTCACTATGTCAGCTTTAAAGATTTTTCTCGCTTACATTTTTTATGACAAATATCACATTCAAAATTATATTAATTTCCTACTGAACTATTATAACCATGTAATACCTTGGTTACGATAATCATAAACAGGGTCTTAACCCAAGGGAGTTAAGGATTTTCATAACTCCCGCTTTTACCTTGAATAGGTGAAACTTTGAAAAAAAATAGAAATTTTGGTTTATGGTTTATTTCGTTATAAAAATGGACAAAATAGAGTAAATTCAGTAGGAAATAAAATTATCTATGTACCACGGGAATTATCAGGTGTTATTACCCACGGGCAATTGGTGTCCCTCGGGCCGAAGGCCCTCGGGTCACAAACTTTGCCCTGGGGTCCCATTTAAGATGTTTATCGATGATAACTCCAAGATATTATTTTGAATCTACCTCAAGCAATGGGGAGTAATAATGTCAAGTTCTTCAAAGGAAGGACGATTGGAAGATGTCAAAAAATTTTCAATAGTAACATAACGAGTGCAATGGAAATTATTGATAATGTTTGTGATATTTGCCCGAATGCATTTTCAGTTAAAAGGCCATATTATTTGATTTACTAGAGTTTAGTGTCTTTTTTATTTTTGGAACACCACGTTTCGTCAACTCCTTCACTTGAGCCAAGGTGTCTCCTACAAAATATAGCGGCTATACATATATGATATGATGGGATCCATCTTTAATATTCATGTTTTTTTTAGGAATTTATAGGTAATAAAAAGTAC